TATATATATATAGTTATTTATATATATATAACTAAAAAGAAAATAGGGTTAGGTGTCACATTGTGACTAAAGGTATCCGAACCATCAATTTAAATTGGAGAATGGAGAATAGGAGTCCATATTTTTTATTTTTAGGTGGCATCACACAAAGTTTCCCATGCCATGACTAAAAAATATCCAATCCAGCTTGGAATTGGTCAATTTGATGAGAGCCGATCGATAGGCATATAATCCTGCGTGAAGAATCCCTGGAGTTGCTCGATTCTCCTGGTCTTTTCAAAAAATTTAACCCTTAGCCTTCTTTGACCGAGAAGGTTGGAATCTGACCGCTCAATTTCGACAACATTGGGGTGAGTGATACACAACAATACTATGCTTCCCCCTCCCCATGCACCAATAAGAGCATCCCTAGTTGATGGAGACAAAAATGTAGTTCTAAGAGTCACATGATCTCTTGCTTTAAGTCACATGATCTCTTGCTTTAAGCAACGACCTTTTATCAGTAAATGCTGTAAGCTTTTCATGATGAGATAAGGTGCACCTCAAGAATCTAGTAGAAAATAGTGTTTCGAAGTTGGAAAAGCTTCGAATCAATCAACTTGATTTTGAGATGTATGGATATAAAGAAGAAAAAAAAATTCAGTCCAAAAAATAATGCATCTTGTAACAAATTAATGTCGGGTTGTCAATTTTGAAGATTTTCAAATATTTATAGATATGTTCGATCTGTATTATTTTTAAAATTTTCAAATTTATAACTAGGGATGAATACAAATTTGTAAGCTATCATAAAGTTTCTTATATTGAAACTACCTCACCAACCAAAGTTTAGATACGCGCCTTACTTCTACAGACCAGCGTATGTAAACCTCACCCTTTAAATTATTAATATAATTTTGGCAAAAAAGCTACTATCTATAAAAAATGCGAACAAATGCGAACTAAGTCAAAGAATAATTTATGGTATACTCTTTGCTAAGATTTGATTAATTTTCTGAGTAGATTTAGCTGCTTATTGGTTATAGTTCGTTAGGATTTGATCTCTAATAGTTACAACGGAATATTATATAATTACAAAATGTTTCTCGATTGCTGCTAATTGGTCATTTTATTACAAGTATTTAAGAGAGCTTTTTAATATGCTGCGACTTTCAGTTCCCTGTCGAATGTAGGCAGATCAAATTATTTTCTTGACTTTTTTCAAACAATTTTACATAAAAATAAGTTCATGATTTTCTTGAATTATATAGTGTTTTCAATAATTTATTGATTAATGCAGTTTACAGTTGATCTAGAAAATGCCTTTCTATTTTTATCTACCGCAAGTCTTTCCTTCGCTTTTCATCCACTCTATGTTTTCTCTTCATTTTTTTGATTTATTCTATGGACTAAGCACAAACTTAAAAAAAAAAAATTCGAACTTTGTGACACCCTCAACCTGTCAAATTTTACATACGGTTATAAACAATGGTGACCTACTTGTACATAGGTAAATGGTCTCATTGTATACAATTTTTTTTTTAAAAGGAAAAGTTTATATAGAACTAAGGCTCTAAACAATCAAATTCGAGCCTACCTCAAAAATTTCACTAGAAGATATTGTTTTGATGCCCAAATATCATCAAATTCATCGTCTCGATATCAAGATGCATGGACATGATAAAAAAATGGATTTCAAGTTTTGGATATAGTGTATTTTGTAACGTACTTTTGTACGGTCAAATTTCAAGATTTTCA